GACTTCTATGGGTCTAATGCAATGTTTGACCCTTCACAGAGACTCACAGGGGAAAAGATCATTTGAAGTAAAAATATGGAAAATGGTTCAACCTTTTTAGTGCGACAGAAAAAAAAAAAAAAAAAGGAAAAAGGGGGGGGGTTGGCCTTTTTTGGGTAAAAAAAGGGGTTCCCCCCTTATCGCACGGAGTGTGAACACACAAATGAGGTATTTGAAGTTCTACCCAATAAAGACGAGAACCAAAAACTGCATTGTGGTTGTATACAAGCACCAGATGCACCCCCACAACGTTCAAGGAAAGCTACTAAAAATCGTTTACTGTTTAAAAAACCTTTCCCGCTCCATCCCCAAACATTTTACTGCTTGGGATTTCACCTAAGGCTACAAAAGGAAGAAAGTAGCAAATAAGGGGTTTTATAGCTGAAACAATCCCGGAGGTACCCAGATGAAAGGTCACCACACATGAGTACTAAGTCTCTGCAAAAAAACACACCTTAAGCCGCAGATAGGGAGCAACAAGCTAAAAAAACACACTTGATTTTATCTTCACAAAAAGAGGACTGTAAGGACATAAAATATAAAACAATAATTCCCGATCCAATCTAATCAAGGCCCGGGACGTAATGCTAGGGGTCCGGGGAACGCAGAATGCAATCCTGGAAAGGGTTTGTCTTCACAAAATACAATTTCAACAACAAAACATCAACTGGGACCCGGGAAACCCCTTTTCCCAAAGAAATGTTGGGGGAAAATGTCTTAAAAGACATGGATCCAAAACCGGTTTTAAAAGGATCAAAATTCCTGGTAGCGAAGATGTTCTAGGCATATTCCCCAAGAAAAAGGAGGGAAATGGAGAGAAAAAAAAGCGCTCCCTCTACGAAGACGCGAAGAGCACTGAGCTCCCCAGAGTGTAGAATATTGATACACAAAGGAGGTGTACCAGGGAATGGAAAAACTATTTTAAAATTAGCTAAAAAGGCTCTTTCAGGAACAGGAGAGGGGGGGAGCTTAAAGCTATTAGTGAATTGAAAGAAATTTAAAAAAATTTCTTTTCTATGCCAAAAAAAAAGGCAAAAAAACCCTTAGTTCGGGCCTTACTCGACAGGATGGGCCTTTCCCGATGACAAAGGGGAAAAAGAGTGAATATTGAAATCCCAGTAGCTCGGGGTTTTTGTGAACCACTAATTTTGGTTTTGGGTCCGCCCAAATGATTTCTTATGAAAGAGCTCAAAACTCCATAAATGTATGCCAGATTTCCGAATTACCCTAACTCCCATGATTTTCGAAAAAGCTTGACCTGCTTGCACTCAGCCCCGGGCCCAGACTCGTGGAACTCGTTTTCATTAAGAACTGCAAGAAACCCCCCTCGGTGCCCCCAATACACTATGGAGGGGGAGTTTGGACTGGGTGAAATTTCCCCGTCACTTAAAAAAAAGGATATAGCCCACTCCAAAGGTGGCAGCAAGCTTGTAAGAACTATAGACCATAGCCCGACGTCCCCCCTCAAAAATCTTTGAAAAAGGCTAAGAAGCAGGTTGCAAATCACTGGATTCCCAAATTGCAAATCCAGGGGCAACCTGGGTTAGGGAGGGTCCCCCTGCCCCTCACAAACTATGGATCACAGACATGGCCTTGGATGCCTGGAGAAAAATCAGAATGCAGAGTAATATACACAGACTTTGCAAAAGCATTTGACAAATGCGATCATGGCTATAGCCCATAAAATAGTTCTAAAGGAAAAACTGGGAAAATGGGAGTGGATCTTTTAACTTCCTAAAAAATCGAACACAAAGTAGTGGTCAACAGAGTTAAACGGAGGCTGCCATAGTGAAGAGCCTGTTCCAAAAGGCAAGTACTCGCCCCCCCCCTTTTTTTCCCTTTTCTCATATCGACAAAACAGAGATATACCCCCCCAAACACCGTTACCTTTGGGATGATATAGGATCTGCTGAGGCTGTCATCTGCTGGGACGCGGTTTTTTTTCCAAGAAGATTAAACAAAAATTTTCCCCTGGGGGACGGAAAACAACATGTGTTCAATGAGGACAAATTCCAAATAACCCCTTATGGAAAACTGGGGGGGAATAAAACTAGAACAGAGTATACTATGATCCCCGGCCTTACAAAAGAGCGGAAAAAAAAATTAAAGTAAAGGGAAACCCGGGGTTAGTAAAGTCTGAGGATCTCACCCCTTTTAAGGATCACAACAGTGCCAGGGTCGAGTGCAAAGAAAATGTTTTGGGTGGATTAAAGAGAACTTTCAAACGAGAGATGCCGCCCCTGATGACCTTTTCAAAATCACTTGTTCTCTCTAGGTGGAATACTGCTGTACTTTAAAATTCCTTTTCCCGCGGGTAAAAACGAGATTAGAGAGTGTACAGAGATCCCCTTTAACACCCCTATAAGTTCTGTCAAGCCCTTAACTACGGGAACGCTTTGGAAAACTTGTTGTACTTGTTGGGCAAGGGAGGATATTCATAATCTCACTTGGAAAATCTTGGGGAAGAATGGTCCCCCAAAATTTCACCAGAAATCACTCCCTCGAAAGTAAAAGATGGGCAGGCGATGCAAAAATGCCCCCAATAAAAAAATAGGGGCGCCCTTGGTACATAAGGGGGGAAACCCATAATGTCCCGGGGCCCCAAAACTGTTAACGCCTCCCCCCAAGCATTGGGGAATTGCCTTTAAAAACCCTGGTGCCTTCAAAAGAAGTGGGCAGTTACTAAAGTCAGTGCCCATCAGCCGGGCTGTGGTCGTACGTTGGGGCTGCGTCGGCCAAGTAACAGCCCAGTTGATAGGCCCTGTCCATCGGGGGAGGCCCGGTCTTTGGGCCGGCCGCGGGGGCGTTGATCCCGGAATAACCCCGTAAACCTCCCGGGGACACACGGGTGTTTGAAACTGCCTCGGGTAATGTTGTACAGCACCAGAAAATGTTTATTGGGAATCTAAAGTTGTTTTTTTTTTGGGGGGGGGGGGGCGGGGATCTAATGCTTTTGGCATCTAATTTTTTTTTTTGGAATTTACTGCTATTAGTATTAATAAAACTATTCTCTGGGAATTTTAACACCATTGGATCACTGGGTCATAAATGGTAGTCAAGTGATTCAGTCTTAGAATTTTAACCCGAATTACTTACATTAGTCAGTGTTTAATTTGTAGTCGATATCGCAAGGATATATATATATATATATATATATATATATATATATATATATATATATAAAAATATATATATATATATATATATATATATATATATATATATTGTCGTGCCGAATAGGCAGAACTTGCGATCTTGGCTTAAATAGCAACGCTCATCTTGCCATATAGGACAAGTGAGAATTTGTGTATGCAATAATTTCGCCAAAATCATTCTGAACCTAACGAAAAAATATATTTCACTGTGTCTGTTTAGTATTAAATTACTGTAAACAAATATAAAATATATTTAGCGGGTTAGGTTAAAATAAATTGTTCTTGTTATAATAAGGGTTAGGTAAGTTTTCTAAGTTCTTTTGGTGCAAAATTATAAAATTTTACATCAACATTAATGAAAAAAATGTATCTTTAAACGTATAAGAGAAAATTTTAGAAAGGACTTAATTTTAAATGAGTTCTTGCTAATTGGTCATTTTACATATTCGGCACGACATATATATATATATATATATATAATATATATAATATATATATATATATATATATATATATATATATATATTTTATATATTATATATATATATATATAATATATATATATATATATATATATGTCTGCGAATAGGCAGAATTTGCGATTTGGCTATAATAGCAACGTTCATCTTGCCATATAGACAGTGAAATTAATTTGTGTATGCAATAATTTCGCCAAAATCTTCTGAACCTAACGAAAAAAAATATATTTCACTGTGTTTGTTTAGTATTAAATTACTGTAAACAAATCTAAAATATATTTATTTGGGTTAGGCTAAAATAAATTGCTCTTGTTATAATAGGGTTAGGTAAGTTTTCTAAGATTCTTTTGGTGCAAAATTAAAAATTTTAACATTAACATTAATGAAAAAAATATATCTTTAAACGTATAAGAGAAAATTTTAGAAAGGACTTAATTTTAAATGAGTTCTTGCTAATTGACATATTCGGCACGACATATATATATATAATTTCTCTTACGAGAGAAAAATGTCAGTTTTACTAATTATACCCCGTAAAGTTTGGTTTAATTTATGCCCATTGAAGTGGGTCACCTGTGTCAGATTTTGTCCGCTCTCTATAATCTGTATTACGTAACGTCAACAAACTGTCTAAATTAGCGATGCGTGTTTTTTACTTTTATTGTTATCTTCAAGGATTTTTCAAAGTCAAAGTCATGTAAATATGTAGATATTTTTCAGATATCTACATGTGTGGAAATCTATAGGAGGAAACTGGAAAAGTACCTCCGTCAGGTGGCAGACAACGTACAGAGAGCGGCCAACACATTCACCACCGCACATCTCCCAACATATTCACCACTCGCTCACCACATCAGAACATAAGGGAGGAGGAACACTGCAACAAGCCTATTGACCCATACTTGGTAGGTCATTGTCAACCCAAACCCACTAAAAAAATTTCGCCCGACCCATTATCAATGTTACCCAAGGAATAAGCTTTGATAGTTCTATTAATTCAAAAGCAAGTCCCATTAAAATCCAACCTCTCTCACTCATGTATTTATCTAACCTATATTTCAAGCTCCCCAAGGTTTTAGCTTCAATGTCCTTGTTAGGTAGAGTCTTCCACTCATCGACGACTATTTCCTAACCAGTGTTTTCCTATATCTTTAACTGTAAACTTACCCAATTTGAATCTATTACACCAACATATACACCAAAATACTCACCAACATATACACCAACATACTCACCAACATATACACCAACATACTCACCAACATATACACCAACATACTCACCAACATATACACCAACTCACCAACATATACACCAACATACTCACCACTGGGTCTGAGTGTACACGGGAACCAGCCCTGCCATCTCGTGGTCCAGACAGTACACACGGAGGGTCGTGTAGGTGTGTAGGTCGGTGTACGTGGCTTGGTTGCCCTCCACCCGTAGGTTCTCCCATTGTCCTTGTACCCACTCAGGGAAGCTGCACCCAGCCGAGGCAGCCTGGGGAAACACCACACCCATTTATTATTATTATTATTATTATTATTATTATTATTATTATTATTATTATTATTATTGTTGTCAGAAAGAGTGTCTCAGAATCGAATCGTGACATCAAATAACCTGAGAGTTTGGCGGATATGGGAGTGACTCACCTCAGACACGGGCGGTGTGGGAGGCGTGGGCGTGAGTACGAGGGTCTCGTATCCCTCCCAGGCAGAGTGCAGCTTGTTGATGCAGGTAGAGTCGTAGGAGAGAGACAGGTAGACTCGACCTGTCCCATCCTCAACCTTGTACATCTGCAAGAAGAAAATTATGACTTCACACACACACACACACACACACACACACACACACACACACACACACACACACACACACACAGAGGAGCTGTGACTCGACCCCTGCAACCACAACTAGGTGAGTACACATGCCAGTTCGACAAAGGGCGCTGTGGTTCGAACTATCCGCATTGGCTCAACAAAATGAACTGTGTCCGTACTCGTCCGTTCGGGTTCCCAAACATGAATCGTGGCTTTCAATCCTTCCACCAGGGTCTTTTAAGCTGACTTGTGTGACTGAACCCAGTCCGAGTATAAACCAAGGAAATTCACGTCCATAAACCACCTGACATATACTTTGTGAAGTATACATCTCTCAGTATATATACACACTGAGATTTCAGTCCCTGTTGTAGGTTTTTATCCATAATTGACTGGTGGTGAACAGGTGACATGAAGCCTTAACAACCCCGCGCAGTCGATAGGCTTTAAACCCCACTAACCATCTATAAACAGTTTAATGTGTATTTGGTGCTACAGACATAATAAAATCCAAAAAAAATAAAAAGATTACAGAAATTCCCATTAGTTCTATACGGCTCGTAAGAAAGATGATAACAGAGTGACGTCCTACTACCTGGGGTGAAAAACAGGATGGCTATTACGCAGGTCAAACACCTACGACGGATGAACGTGGAAAAAACATTAAAAGCCTGAGAACGTGCTCCATGAACGACGAAACTGCAAATAATACAAACTTGAAATACCAAAAGAGCATGACAGGGTGAACGAACGCGGCGGCGCAGAGGGACGACCACGAGAATTAAGAAGAACAGTAGAAGAAAATGGAGAAGGAAAGAAAAAGGAGGAGGGGGAGAAGGAGGAGAAGGAGGAGGAGGAGGAGGAGGAGGAGGAGGAGGAGGAGGAGGAGGAGGAGGAGGAGAAAAGAAGAAACATAAGAAGAAAAGAAGAGGAAGAAGAGAAAAATTTGGAAAACAATGAGGATCCAAGACGCGCGTGTTGGAATCAGGAGGAGGAGGAGGAGGAGGAGGAGGAGGAGGAGGAGGGAGGAGGAGGAGGAGGAGGAGAGGAGAGGAGGGAGGAGGAGGAGGAGGAGGAGGAGAGGAGGTGGAGGAGAAGGTGAATGACTACGATGGAAGAAGTGAATTAGTGGAAGATAAACAAGGATTAGAACGACTCTGAATCAGCACATTAACAGCTATTATTATTATTATTATTATTATTATTATTATTATTATTATTATTATTATTATTATTATTATTATCGAACGCCGTAGGGGTTATATACCTCACAGGGAAATATGAGGTAATCCGATTTGATCCAAGGAAGCTGAGATAGAGGTTCAATTCCTTGAATTAAGAGCACCCTCCATCACCGAGGTTCAGTGAACACCCACTGAGATGGATAAACCTCAGCCTCGCCGAACCTAGTTATGGCTGCTCTCATAGTAGATGATAGCAACTCAGGTGGTACTCTTTCTCTGGTCTTCCTCTAAGGTGGTACTCTTTCTCTAGTCTTCCTCTAAGGTGGTACTCTTCCTCCCATTCTTCAGGCGGAGAATGACCTAAAGCAGCGTCTGCGGAATGGGTAATGGGTAATGGGCCGCAAGAGGAGATCGAAGGGAACGTATCCTAGATATGTTCAAGATCAAGACACTCCAGAAGGAGCTCGAAGAGGAGTGGGGAAAGGGAGGACGACCCTTTTCCCTTGAAGGGTCGTCCTAAGACCCCTTCTCTTCACTGGGGAAGGGTTGGTTGGGAGAGCTATCCTTCCCCTCTTCAAGGGGAAGGATAGGACCCCTCCTCTTCACTAAGGGGAAAGACGATCCGTCACCCCTTGATGGGTAGTCTTAGGACCCCTCCTCTTCGCTGGGGGAAGGGAGATCCCTCCCCCTTGAAGGGTCGTTCTAGGACCCCCTCCTCTTCACTGGGGGAAGGGAGATCTTCCCCCTTGAAGGGTCGTCCAAGAACCCCACCTCTTCATTAAGGGGAAGGGAGATCCTCCCCCCTTGAAAGGTCGTCCTAGGACCCCTCCTATTCACTGACAGGAAGGACTTCGTCCTCCATAATAATATTGTCAAGGGTCTCGTCATGATCTGGAGGATAAAATTGTGTCAACGACCATGAATATTTTAGTTAATGTTCAAGGATTTGATTGACCTCAATAACTCTCAACCTGTAAGAAAATATCGAGAGAGGGATGAGAGGGGCGAAGAAAAAGAAAAAAAAATCACTTGTGAACGTGATTCCCTTGTAAACACGATGGAGGGTCTCTGACCTGTCCCAACTTTCATTCCAAGCCCTTCTTCTTTGACTTCAAAATTAGTAAAAAAATATTGAAAAAAGAAGTTTTCTACTATAATTTGTCGGTAGATCATATAAATCTCATTTTGTATTCAGTAAAAAATGGTTTTTGTCCCCACTAAGGGAAAATAAATTAGATGGAGGTGAAATCAAATCAAAGTGAGAATCGTGATGCAGAGGATCGGACGCGATACAGCGCGCGCAGACTGACCGGATGTGGTTGGTGACGTCATAAGAGCCGGGTTCTCATGACTGCCATGGTTTTCCTGTCTTGCCAGACCAATTACTGCTGCGTGCTTCTGCAAACCAGCAAAGCGGCCACGGTAACTACTGCACCCAGGCTGCCACACTACCACACCAATACACCTACACACCGAGACCTAATGGCCAGAGTAATAAAGAAAACACAAGTGCAGAACAAGTATTTATTGTGAGAACGCTTCCCTGTGTAGAGCTTTATTATGTGATTTGATGAAGCTACACCGAGCGATTGATTGCTATACTAAATGCTTGTTTTGCAGCCGGGATTTCTTCCCATCGTTCAGCCGTGAGCCTCTTGTTAACAAGAACGCCGCCTATGGAACTCTTATTTTATTCGTAAACACTGAGATTTGTATTTTTTCTGGGAGAACTGTCTTTACTTTGCAATTTTTGGGGCGCGAATTAAAACTATGCATGAATTACAGCTGATTTAGTTATAGATATAAAATAAAATAACTTCACTGTTCTGGGATGCCGATTTCTTAATTTCTTGGAGAAGAAGTTCGAGTCTGCCCACATTCTTCCTACCTCACACGAGACCATTGCATGGTTATATTGGCGACACACTGACCATCTTCTCCAACACACTCAGCATACACAACATCATCAAGCTCACCATTATATATACATTAGAGGAGGACAGGGATAACTCTGGACAGGGACACAGGTGATGACAGACTGACATTTGAAATTTACAGGAAACTAACCAGTGAGGACGATTTTATTCACTTCCACCCGCAGAACCACGCGAGCCGATGTATTTAAGGATATTGGTCTTTCTCTGAGATACAAAGCAAATTTCCTAAAATTATTTGTAACAGATAAGAGAACTGTTGATATATATCCAGATCTACTTTTGTAAACCCTTTTGGGACCTAGTTCCTACGCCTTTTGTGTATCCATATGCTCTTGCGCTACTGCGCACAGGATGGATATAGAGTGAGCATTAAAGTAGCCATTTCGGTGGCTAGTTTGAATTGGATTTAGGCTGTGTATGTTTTAATTTACCATTATTGTTTTCTTCCTTAGGACCCACAGGACCTCTATTCAACATTTTCATAAGTACGAGTGTATCAAGAGTAGGTTAAATTAAGTTAAGGACGCCTTTGAGTCAAGGCCTACAAGAAGCTGATAGATATTATACTTGATTTCTGTAGTTAGAAGATCCGCGTGACCTTCAAACTCATTCAGTTTCTGCAATACTACACAGCAACATTGCTCTAGCGTTCATAGGCAGTTATATTAGAGAAGCAACTAATTCCATGGCCATGAACATAATATAAAAACGGTGAAACATTACAGCAGGCCTAACGGCCCATAAAAAGTCCCAAACTCTCTTACAAAAATGTTGATCCAACCCATTCTCATGGCTACCCAAAGAATGAGCTTTGATAATCCTCCTAACTCATGTTGTTCAAGTCCCACTCATATCCACCCTCTCTCACTCATGTATTTATCCATCCTAGTTAAACTAAAACCAGCCAGCACGGAAGGTACTAGTGCTGGTGTGTCTAGGATCCCCTCTGGGAATGTGAGGTCTATATATGGGAAATAGCCAGGACCACAGACACACTGTTTTGAACACAGACATGCCTGCAGCTCTGATATGAACAGCACATGTGTCCAACATGGTAGTACACACCGTCACATCATGAGGTGGGAAGGAACGAAACCACTTAACGAAAAGTGATTTCCTTAGACGTTGGTGGCTGGAAGCTTCAGTTATTTCAGTTTCAGTCTCTATCACACAAAGCTCAGGGAGAGTTAGCATCTCCAGAACTTTTGCCAAAATGATCCTATCCAACATCAGCAGGCCTACTGGTCCATGCTAGGTAGGTCCTTCTCAATATATGAGGCGTCCACTCACCTCCTGTACTTATAATAATTTCCGTATTAATAGTGAAAAGGCCACCAATGGTGAAACATATTAATCAATAAGGGCATTTACTGTACCTATGTGTCTTATTTCCACTATCTACCAGTGCTAACAAACCTGAGTTTCTGCCCTATGAATGATATATATAAAGGTCAAGTATCTATTGCTTGTAGTGATTGATACTGAAACATGAACTGTTTTCTTGGCTGTAGATTTCTGCTAGTGAGGCATAATCTGTATCACAACACTGTGGACACAACATAGGCAACACTGTAGACACAGCACCATGAAAACTGTAGACACAACGCCAACAACAATACAGACACAATACCAACAACACTACAACAATACCAACAACACTACAAACACAATACCAACAACACTACAGACACGACACCAGCAATGCTGCAGACACAATACCAACAACACTGTAGACACAATACCAACAACACTGTAGACACAGCACCTGCAACACTACAGACACAACACCAACAACACTGCAGACACAGTACCAACAACACTGCAGGCACAGCACTTGCAACACCACAGACACAAC